CACACACACACACACACACACACACACACACACACACACACACACACACTGCTCCATCTTTATTGGCTCTGTCTAAGACACCCCAACCCCCTGATCCATCCACTGTATTGTGAGACAGTAAGGTTTATTTTAATGAAATGTATGGATTTCATGAWGGTTGAGTTAAATAAAGAAAATATAATGAAAGGAAAGTTCAATCCTGCACTGACAGGTGGACAAGAAAAAAAAACATTTCAAGACTTTTGACTGCATCATGCAGGCAGCATTCACTCACCTTCTGATGGTTTTAATATAAAAAAGCTGCACATAAATAGGCATCTTTAWGTCCAACATTGTGTACAGTGGGATTTGTTATCATTTCCTGTATAGGTCTTTTGCACGCCTAAACCTATTTTCCACACCTTATTTTAGTTAGTCTGTACATTACAACTGAGAATCACAATCAGGTGGGCGACCCAGTGCAGTTTCTGTGGTGGGGCAGCGTACTTCGGGGGCGCTGTGATCTCAGTCTTCTCAAACKCTGGAGCTCTCTTAAATATYCAAGAGAGTAAGAGTGAGTCTTATGAATTYTGATAACTGGCATTTACACTCAAGTCTGAACGAGGGAGTAAATTTAGAAAAATTCTCTGTACTTAAGTCTAAAATTCCTCTCTAAGAAGTTTGAYAAATGGTTTTTAAGCTCTTGGAATGAGACCGCTTTTTCATGACCATATACAAAATGTTTACCCTACTGTTTCCCATTRACTTACTTTCTTCTTCTTTTTTATCAATATTTTCACACAAACACGCAAATGTCATGCTGGTCAGGATCAKATTCTGCAACTATGTATCTGGAATTTCAGTTTGTGATTTGTCAGTGAATTGCCTATTACTTTGGCAAAAAGATAACATTATAAATACCAATAAAATAATACAATGTACTCTACCTTTCTGTGCAGGGATCTGGTGCTGATATCCAATGAGAGGCAGGGTACACTATGGATAAATGTAAGTTACATAAATACACGTAGATTATTATAAATATACCACCATATATATA